ATATCACATAGCAATAAAATGGGAACAGTTTATAACAGCTATAGTGAGCTTTTGTTTAAAAAATGCTCATTCTGCTCTGATAGGAAAAGTGATAGCTTGGTTAAAAATGTAAGTAGATATGCTCTAGGCACATATGGTGATGAGGAATGGAACAATCCTTGTGATCTAACACTTTTGTATAGCCTTTTAGGAGCCTTTGCTCACCAAATGTAAAGCATTAAATCATTAATACAATTCCTACCGTTTCTGAAAAAATATGTATATACATAACAGCTATAGTGGGCTAGCATATACTATATTAATCTTGTACACAAAACTAAAGCAAAAGTAAACGGCAATTATAATAGTATAGCCAACCAATTCATTTAGGTTCAAAATAAACGCTAATGACTCCTGAGAATTTTTCTCAATCCATCCAGCGTAATTACACGAGCCTTTGGTGACGTTGAGTATGTAATCCAACTGAACTTTTGCATTCTCTCTGTATTCACAAACAAAAAATAAAATATCATTGACCAACTAATCTTTTGTTACAGTTTACAAAAAAAAAATATTATCAGGAAGCATAAGTAAACATCTTATAACAAGATTGGCTGTGAATCAATCAGTTGACCATAGAACAAGATGGAGGAAGTTAAGAATGTAGCAACTACTTAATGTCTCATAGCACAAGAATGTAGCAAACATGGACAGGGGGGGTGTCAAAGCAATTTCTTATGAGGGACATGTAGACTACTTTGGCATCCACTACAGACGAAAAAAGCTTTGAAAGAGCAAAGCATGCACATAATCCTGTAGAATTGAAAGAGCTGTGAGATGAACAGACATTCAAGCTGAATGTAGTACCTTGTCAAAATATGGCTGAAACTTGCCTCTGCAGAAATTAGATAGTGTCCACGTGGCATTTCGCAACAATGATAGTTTGCATGCTCATTTAGCTAAGCCAACAAAGGACCTAGAGCTCCATGACCAGGAACAAGATCACGGCATTTTGGGGAATCACCAACCACGTTTCACGGAGCCCATACAGCCTAATGTAGTTAAAAGAAAATTAAGGAATAAGAGATAAATAACAATAAAATTCAATTATATCATGCAACATTCAAAATCCAGAAAGCAATGCAAGGCATTGAACATGATTCCAAACACCAGAAGAGGAAATTTCTTTATCATCCATCAAAGATGTACCTGTTCACGGGCATCATTGCTGGGAGAACTAAGAAGCTGTGCGAATATGGGAACAACACCATTGTCTATTACAACCTTAGTGTGCATAGATGTCCCGGAAGCAATGTTTGTGAGAGCCCAAGCTGCCTCAAACTACAAATTTGCAAAGGATGGAAAAAGACATTTATACGTAACACCAAACAAATATAATCTTCATTTTGTACGCAGGATGGGGAATAATGAGCTTGAAGCTGAAGTTGAGGAAATCCTCCGTAATAAGATAATGAACAAAACGAGGGACAACACCAGCTTGGATCACTTCCTGAATCGGCGGACTTTGTTCAGGTATCAGGATTAATAGCAATACCTATATATGCTATATCCCCTTTTGTATTGAGAAAGATTTTTCCATGAAGACCTGAGTGTACAAAGTGAAACCAACAGAGAAGTAATTAGGAAGTTCAGCTAGTTATCTATCAAAATTTGAACAAAGGAAAATGCCCTATAATAAATGTTCCGTATGGTCTCCCAGCAACACTATAGATACATTCCCATATTTCAATAGACAGACTTCCCACAAATATCAATAGCTAGATAGAGACAAAAAAGCATTCCAGAAAGGATGATACTATGAATGTAACTTGTACCTCATCTGAGGAGTTTGAGCGAAGCCACTATTGAGCTGAATAACACCCCACTTGGAAGTATCGAAGATACTGGAGATGAGTTTTACTTAAATTCTTAGATAATACAAGAAATTTGTTAGGAACCTTAAAACTAAGTAAACCGTAATTCTAGTGATCAAAATTGAAAAAAATTAGGCCAAACCCATGACTGAAGCTTTCTATTAAATCATATTGAAAAGAATAAAAAAAAACTGGAAATAAAATAAATAATCCAGACATAACAAAGGTCACGGTACAAATCAATTTCATCCCTAAACAATAAGACGGCTATTAAGTTTAATCAACTGTAGCTATGGTTGGGTTTCAAACTTGGCAAAATTTTTAGGACAAAAAACAGGCTAGGAAGGAAATAAGCTAAAGCCTCAAAAATTAACTTCACCTAGTGCCAGAAAAATATTTTTACCCACCTTCAAGCAGCTCTCATAAGAGAGGATTGGCAGAGGGTTTGGAAAAGTGTGTAGAGCAACTTAGAGAGAGCAGCAAGAAAAAGCAAAGCTATCCGGTTGATTCTTTCATGCGCGCCTTGAGAGTGTTCAACTGGAATGCGTCATCTCTCAGTAGGTGATTGAAAGGGCGGCGATGTGTAGGATGAAGCAGAGACGGAGAGATGGAGAAAACCGAGCAATTGTATCAGTGAACTTCGATGGTGAGAGAACAGGGCACAACTCAGTATAACGAAAAGAGAAAATTGCTGACCGAGAATGAGAGAAAATTGCTGACCGCCACTGGCCAGAGAAAGCTAAGAAGAAGAATGAGGAATTGAAGCGGTGCTCCCAAAACCAAGAACAGGCCAAGAATGAGAAAAAAAGCATGAGAGCCACGCGGATGAGAAGAAAGGAATGAGAGCCACGCAGACACACGGGAAATTCCAGCGCAGCCACTACCACCGAATGACAAAGGACCAAAACGCTCCTCAAAGCCACAAAAATATGACCAAAACACCCCTCAAAGCCACGAGAATCACGCGATAACCGGCTCATCCTGCACTATTCATTAGGCTTTGCACGCTTTATATACGTAAGATAAGATATATTTTCAAAATATTTTTATTTTAGTTCTTCATTTTATGTTTAGAAAAAAAAATATGTTCAAAATACTTTTGTTTTGGTTCTTCATTGTATGTTCAAAATATATTTGTACGCCCTATACTCATAAGGTGTGCCTCTTCCACTAATAAGAAATAGGTATGTCAATTGGTCGACTTTTACAATATACTTTGGTAGGATTTTATTTTAATTTGTCAAATCTAAATCCAGACCCTATAAGAGAGTGATGAGTCTAGGTAAGATTTGATTTTCTATAATTTAAACCAAAATTTAGATCCAGATCAGACTCTATTCAGATTCATGTATAAATAAATTATGTGTGTGTATATATATATATTAGTAAATTCATAAAATAATCTAATATTCTATATCATTTAGATGAAACTTTGAGAATAAATAGTTTTAGTTTATAATAGTTCTTTTTTGAGTCTATAATATTGCATTCAACATCTTGAATGTTAATTTTACTATTTGAAAATAAAATTTAAATGGCATTTATGTTATTTTTTAACTCTATATATTTTCAAAATATTTTTATTTTAGTTCTTATTGTATGTTCAAAAAAATATTCACAGGTACCAATTGGATACTCAAATTCATAAGGGTCTGAGTTTTAATTTACTTTTTCAAACCCACAAAGATCTGAGTATAAATCAGGATCTAGATCTGAGTTTGACTAAATTTAATGGGTCTAAATTTCGGTCAAAGATATCCAATTCAAACCTTATCCATTGATATATCTTATAAGCAGTGTTTTCAAACTCAAATCGGACTAATTGGTTCAACCGATTGAACCGAGAATTGGGAAGGATTCTGGTCCGAAAGTATATGAAAAACCGGCTATCCAAAGATTCGATAAAAAATGAGGTTTAACCGGTAGAAGCTGAAAAAACTGGTTCTTAAAAATCCTTTATCTTGTGTTTCTCCCAAAAAAAAAGAAACCTTCTTTTCTCCAAAATTTCAAGCCATTCAACATCTGGTAGGGAAGAGGCCAAGGTGGTGAAGTTGCTATCATTTTCAAATCTGAGCACCTAAACAATGCTTAAAAAGAAAAATAGAAGGAGAAGACGAAGAAAAAGAGAACATCCAGTGACATGGATCCAAACTAAATTAATAAAAAGAGCACATTCAGCGACATGGCACAGCTAGGCATGGCGAATCTGTACTTGATCTCATCTCATATTGAGTCAGCTAGTTGTTTTGACTTTTGCCTCCATGATTGTAGGTTGAGGCAATGGACGCTTGCGTTGTTGGTGATTCTGGATCATGCCCTTGCTCAACTGACAGAGTATGACAGCTTGAAGAAGTCCACAACTTGAGAATTAGAGATGAACGCTCAAAGTTTCATAGTACTTCACTTTTACCCCAAATGTTTTGGATAGTCATAATTTTTGCCATAACGTTCTCTATTATTTGTTTGCAACCTTAATTCGGTATCTGACTTCAAGTAAGTTATAAGGATTTAATTTGTGCGGCTTTATTATTTGTATTATTTGTAAACTCACCAAGTATATCAAGTCTAGAGATATTTATTTTGTACTATTTTATTTTTATATATCATTAAATACATTTATGGCATCATTATAATTTATGATATCAAAAACATATTTTTAATCCACCTTTTTATATTTCGAATCAATTTTTTATGTCATGTATATCATATCACAAAAAAATATTAATATAATATTCCCTTCATTCCATTAAAAGTGTCGTACTTTTCATTTTGAGATGTCCTAAAATATTTGTCATGTTGAAAAAGTTAATGCACATTTTAGTCTCTCTTTCTAATAGAGTTTTTCTTTCTAATCATATGCATGTTATTATTCAATTTGAATTTTAAATTTTGAGGATAAAATTAAAAAAAGAAATATAAATATTACAATCAAATTACTATTTTTAAAAGATTAAATGTTCTAAATATGACTAATTAATTAGAACGAAGAGAATAGTAATTATTTTAAATAATATTCTATCGAACTATTCACGTAGCAAATAAGTAATAACCATAATCACTAAAAAAAAAAAAAATACGGATGTACTTTTAATTGACCAGAAACAAAAGCACGAAATGCAGAGCAGAGAGGAGGGGGTTGACCAAAAAGAGCGAAGTTGGGCCATTAGATGATGAATAATGCATTAATGATGGGGGCTGGAGCTTCTTCCGCCGCCGCCGCCCCTGCTGCTGCTGCTGCTATTTACTACAGTGAAGACATTAGGTATTCGTTCAACACCCTTGAGCCATTGAATCTCTTCAGCGGAAACAGCAAACAGGTGCTCTTTCTTTTTGCCCTTTATTGCTTTAGGAAATTAGTTTTTAGCTGAAATCTCTTTAGCAAATTAGATCGTCTTGTTCCAGATCATCTTCCATTTGGTGTGATAACATTATTATTAAATACTGGAGAAGGCTGTTGAAACCACCCCAGATGATCATGATGATGGTGATGGTGATGGTGATGATAGTCAAGTTAATAGAATCAGTGCCATTCCGGACGAACTTCTTTCCCACATCTTATCATTTCTACCAACAAGAGAATCAGCGGTTACCTCACTTTTGTCCACTCGATGGAGACACCTTTTTGCTTCACGCCCTGAGATCGATCTCGAATTCCATCCCGAACGTAACCATTCTGACCCTGAGATCGATCTCGAATTCCATCCTGAACCTGAACGTACCCATTCTGACGCTGATATCGATCTCGGATTCCATCCTGAACGTAACCGTAACCAAGCTGATAAGCTGTTTTCTGAGTTCGTAAATTTTGGCAATAGACTAATTTTGCTACGAAACAGGGCTCCATTAAGGAAATTTAAGCTCTCCCTTATGAGGGTTGTGGAAAGCTATCGTGGGGCACTCGATTCACTGATATCTGCTGCACTTTTGTGTCAACTTCAAGAACTCGAAATTTCTGTGGACAACCGGAGTAGTTATAGGGAACGATTATCACCGGAGGGAATATTCACCTGCAAAACACTGACTTCCTTGAGACTAGTGTGGCGCCGTGTGGATTTCAAAGTCCCCAGTCCAGTTTGTTTGCCTAATGTTAAGCTCTTGTGCTTGATAGGACCGATGTTTCAATTAGGAGATCATGATGATTCCCTGCAGAGGCTTATCCAGGGTTGTCCTTTGCTTCAAGAACTAGAGCTGCATTGTGCACTGGGGGATTTGGATCAAATTTTTGCTGAGGATGCATGTATGCAAATTGAAATTCGTGATATTTCTAGTCCTTTCCTGAAGAAAGTAGTGCTGCATTTAGATGGAGGTCTGGATACTAAGGTTGTAGTGGAGTCGAACAATCTTGAGAGTTTGGAATACCATTTCGTAGGTGCGGAGTATAAGATAAGCATAAATGCTCCAAATCTTAAATACCTTGGTTGTGGAGGCGACATAAATGGAGTAAGCTTTATTCAAGACCTGAATTCTCTTGTTAGTGCCAAAATTGGCTCCCTCCTTGAAATCCCTAATTCTGAGATTTTTTACAATCTTGTCAACCAGGTGAAAAGTGTGGAATCACTTACTCTAATACAGCCCAAGGTTCTAACGGTATGATTTTTGTTTTGAACTTTAATATTTCTCTCCGACTTTGAAAGCTTTTCCTTCCTTTTGAGTTGTCTTAAGAGTAATTGGACGATCATACTTCCAAGTTCGTACGTGAGTTTTGATTATTTTTCTCATGCACATGAAGGTCGATATTTCCAATTATGTGATGCCAACTTTCAGCAATTTGATCAGCCTGGAGTTCATTCTCCTCAATTACCATGCTGTTGAATCCTGGAAACTCATGCCAATCTTAATTAAAAGTGCCCCTCACCTCGAAAAGCTAGTCTTCGGTCGAAAGATGTTTCGCGCTGAGCGTGTGGAAAAAGAATTTGAGCTTCTATTTCCAGAATTCATGCCGAAATACTCCATTGAACATCTCAAGGAAATAGAATTCACAAAATTTGACGAGAAGCGCTATGAATTCAAGCTAGTTGAGTATCTTTTGCAAAATGGAAAAGCTTTGAAGAAGATGGTGCTACGTGGATCTTTGCAACCCTCTAGCTATGATAGAATAATGTCATACATGAGATGCTCAGAGGATTGTCAAATTGTGGTAGAAGAACGTGGTTCAGAGGAAATCTGGTGGATGCTAACAGTTGACTTATAAATGATATCTGTTTCAGTCATGCAGGGAAGTCGTGGGAAAATGAAGTAACAAAATCATCTGCTATGTACATTTGCTTTTTGTTGTATGCATAAAGGATCAGAATTCCCTGTTGTTCATGTCTTTTGTTGCTTGAATTGATTTGTTCTTTTTACTACGAAGGAGTGGATTTGGGATGGGAATTTGCAGGAGTGGAGGTGTTCAGCTGATGCTTTTCATGCAAAAGTTAGATATGCATGCATATTATGATGATGTAGAAGTTGTCAGGTAAGTCAATGGAAGGGCTTCTACACCTCTCAAAAGATCACTGCGTGAATCGTACAATGAAGGAAAACAGATATGAAACTGCTAATCTTGCTAATTGACTAAAATGAACATCAAAAATTATATGGAAAACATTTCAATGATGGAAAGCAGCACGAGTAAAAACCATTATACCTATGCAATATTCAGAAACATGCCGCTACTAATATTGCAGCATGAACCAGTTTCAACCAGTGAATGTACATACAATACCCATATATCGATGCCTGAGTTCGTACTTACCGCTGTTTATTGGATGAAAAAGCACAGCTGAGAATAGACCTAAGAGATTAGCACGCTGCAACACAGATTACCAGCAATGTCTTGGACAAACCTACACAATGTAACAGCCTTTTAATTTCTATATATGCACCCATCTAGCAAACTAGGTGTGGTTTAGGCAAACTTCAGATACTACTTCCTCGATTATAAGCATAGGACCTTGCAAAATATACATAAGCAGCTAATGCAATAGCGCTAAGTCCGGCAAGCAGCCAGTAAAAGTAATCCAGGTGTGCCTTGTTCAAGTTGTCTGAGAACCAGCTCTCGTGTCCATGCCTGCTTGTGGCTTTCTCAATAACAGAGATGAGAAAGCTGCTTAGAAAACTTCCTATCCCTAAGATACTGAGGTATAGAGCCAGACCTGTGCTTTTCAATTGATTCGGCATTTGATCGTAGAAAAGTTCTTGCAAACCAACCATGGAAAGTGCTTCAGAAACTCCATAAATCAAATACTGAGGTATCAACCAGACCACACTCATGGGAATCGTAGCCTTTGGCTTATCAACCAAACCGTACTCTTGAGCAGTTTCAAGACGCTTCATCTCTACTAGAGCAGCTATGACCATTGAAAGAATCGAGGTAAATATCCCAGCTCCAATCCGTTGGAGCATAGTTATACCTGAAGGTTTTGTGGTTATAGCTCTTGCAGTAGGAACCAAAATACGATCATATATAGGGATAAACAGAATTATCGAAAGAGTGATAAATGATCGTAGTGAAGCGGCTGGTACTTCAAAGCTTGGACTGATAGATCTGTCCATTGTACCTCCTTGCTTGATAAACAAAGTGGATGACTGTGAAAATACAATCCCATATGTCAAACATGTTGCCCATATCGGAAATAGCCTGAGAATTGCCTTTGCATCCTCAACCTCGCTGATGCTACAAATGTTCCCATCTTCCTCTGAACCATCAGGTACTAGCAATGCTTTGTTCAGAAACCTACGTCGATTGCAATAAAAAAAAAAACTAAAACATTTAAAGGAAGAAAATTTGGTTTGAGATTTGTTATCATAAAGATCAAGGATACAGTTCAAGAAGTCAGTGAAGCATGATCTAGCAACATTATCCCATTCAAACAAGTTCATTAATTTGCAAAGTGGAAACAACCTTACACATTTTTCTATTTGCCAATCTTTGGAAAACACAAGAAATTAGCAACCAGATCGCAGGGGAGAGGAGGAAGGGAGGGGATGGGAGAGGAGGAAGGAGGAGGAGGGAGGAAGAAGAAGGAGGAGGGGGGAGGGTGGTGGCAACGGTGAAGGAGGGAGGGGTCGTGGCGGCAACGGATGGTGATGGATGAGGTGGTGAGTGGTTGTGATAAAAAAATTTTTAATAAAATTTTTAAAAATATTCCAATTAAATTTTAAATTTTAAAAACACCCCAAATACATTTACATTTACAGTGTCAAGTTTTTATATACATCGTTACAGAAAAAGTTTTTAACAATACTCCCCAAAAACACCAAACTCGTACGGCCAAGGACATGAAATTAAAGTCTTAGTTACTAAAAGCTTAGAATAGGTTGGTTTCTCACTTGAATTCTTGAGGACCTTGGTAAGGCACACAGCCCTGAGACTCCAGTTGCATGGATAATGTTGAAGAGGTGGCTCTCCAATTTCTAGCTGCATTCACAAATACTCGACCAATTCTCATAAAAGGGCTCTTCTCCTCACTATTGACGCTAAACCGGTAGGTGACAGTTCCGAGCAAGAACAAGATAAGTCCAAAACCCATTACAAGGCAGGGAATCGCAAATCCAAGGCTCCAACTTAAATTATCTTGAATGTAGGTTAAAATCACTAATGCGACCAAAATAGCCGAGCACATACCAAAATACCACCAGTTGAAAAACGAGCTTTTGGCTTTGCATTCTTCTGGATCTTGTCCATCAAATTGGTCGGCTCCAAAAGCTTGTACGCAAGGCTTATGCCCTCCTTGGGCCACAGCTATTAGATACAATGAAAAGAAGCAGAAAATGATTGGGAATTCAGAAGGTGAACATGTCACAGCGTTTTCTGCATTTTGACACCCAGATGAGTTGAAAGAGGGAAGAACTGTTGAAAGGGTCAAGAAGCCAAGTCCCTGTGATTCACAGCAATGCATGGCTTAAGAAATTGTTATCAAAAGAAAGTAAGGCATTGTTTGGACAGCAATTTTTCAATACGTTTTCCGTGAACACATTTTTCAATCATCTCTTTACCTCGCATATATCAAATTGCTACAGTAATTTTTCTACAAAAATTCAGAAAAATGAAATTCAAACAAGGCCTAAGTTTTTGTTTGAGTAATGGCCATTTCTCTTGATTAAGTCAAATATTTGAAACTGTAGCATGAAGTTCACTTCATAATTTTTCTGTTCTTCAGTTAGTTCTCCTTTCAATTGTTATCTTTTTTATCTTGAGATTTGAAGGATCATCGTCTTACATCAGAATTAAGCTCGTTTATTAATTCTACCACTAATATGGAATTATGTGGCTATATTTAACCCATGGACTTATTCTTATTCATAGTTGAAACATCAGCTAGGCTGAAAGATCTAGAGCATTATAACATCAAAACAAAATCAGAAGTTAAGGAACAGCATAAGGATCGTCAAAGAGGCTAAAACCATCGAATAGTTTCCGGTAGGAAAAATCTATTTATCCAAACTCTTCACTTTATCTTGTCATACTCGTGTTCTACTCTTCATTTTGCACTAGAATAATAGTATAGATAGCACTCCCATAGATGAGTGCGAGAAATAAAGGAGGAAATATGTTCACTTCTCCGAAAATGCTACAAATGGCTCCAATTGTTTAGCTTCTTTTGTTAGCTATTCTGTTTATGTTCATAATTGTTCAACAGATTACCCTTCTTTTTTCCCCTTTTTGAGCAAAAATCAACCTTTTATAAAATAGAGCAAGAAAGCTTACACATTGCAGCAATGAGCAGCCTTTACATCCTACTGTCACCCATACCTATATATACAAAGAACTACAAAAATCTACAAAACACCTATGTACTCGTGAGCAAAATACTTGTGTGTAATCCCCCAATCCTTGATGAAGCTCCAATTTACTCTTGACCTCGGAATTCCGCGCCAAGTAGCACCAACATATCTCACTTCAGTAACTATACTCCTTATAATACGTAATACCAAGGGGAGTAACGTAGGCTTGCTGGAACATCACCTTATTTAGTTATTTCTACTATAAGCATGGTAGTCAACAAGCTTATGCTTGACTACATTCACCTCCCCTTCTTGGATGTGCTTACTATTATCTAATTCAAACAAACCCTCTCCCTCATCTACCTCCTCTCCTCTCCACACACACACACACACACAACCCCCCCCCCCCCAAAAAAGAAAGAAAATACATCTGAGTTTTTAAAGAAATAGATGTCATAAAACCAAGCTTGAACCCCTCCAGTCCATTTGGCCCACATACCCATCAAACTAATGGTTAAAAAAAAAAAAAAAAAAAACCGTAGTGGTGCCGAAAGACTTATTTTAACTCTAGCTTTGTCCTTCTCAAAATGCAGTGTACAAAATGCAAAAATGTCTAATTCTTTTATATAATATGTAATGTATTATATTATTAATTGATAGTTAGCATAAAGTGACTAATCTTAAGAAATCTAGTGTGGCCAATAAAATTTGTCAAACTAACCAAAGTTAGCTAGTGAATTCACTTATATATGTTTCCTTGAAAAGCAAAAATTAGAATTAGCATTTTCACTTATTTTATTGGCTAGCTGAATAACTAATGTTAGTGTTTCACGAAATCATATGCATAATTTGTGAGTATTAAATTGCAGTGTACGTATTTAATATCCAAAATAAGCTACATAATTACAAATCATCCAAGAGTGAGTTGATAAATCAATCAAATAAAAGAGTAGTAGTACAAGATAAATCAAATTTAGTAAAGAAAGAAATATTCTAAGTTTATTTTTCTTTATTCTTCTTTTCTCATAATTAGCTCTTTTCACTCTTAAACACATTCAACTAATTGGCTATCCCTTCCGTATTAGTCTCAATCTAATATGGTATTAGATGTCGTTTTAAGCAAGTATTATCTTCTTTCTTATTTTTTTCGATTTTGCTTCAATTGTTTCTCATTATACATGGATTTTGGTTAATTTAAAGTTTAGCGAGTACCCCTAATTATTTTATTTGAGGGGATGCAATACGTAAGTTTTGTCGTTTGAGGGGCACAAACTATTAAACTATAATTAAAGTAAGATACAATTAGTAATAATTTTAAACTACAAAAGAGGATTTTAAATATTTGCGGAGAACAATTGTCCACCGTAAAATGTTTATAGCTCCACGATTATAATTGGGAAAACTTTGCTGTGGCACGATATGACAGGTGCTGTCATGCTGTGACAACATATCAATTGACACGACGTACAGCATAGAAAATCCGAGCATCTTTTCAAGCTCATTAAGAGTTGAAAAATCGCATCCCAAATAAGAGTAAAGTAAAGAAGGCGCCTTCCAAAGATAGAGCACAAAGTATAACTATAGAGTTACTGTTAAACAG